GGTTGACGCCGCGAGCAAAAACCTACATAAACCTCAACAACAACACCCTTGTAGCCGAACCCCGGAAGCAAGCTTTCAGGAACCCTCACACCCCACCTGCCCGGAAAGTCCGATACTCCTTATATCTATCTATCTATATATATATATATGTATATGTTTAGATGAGGAAATGCCTTAAAGTATAGATGCCTTACGCTTACCCTCACAGGACTCATATTTTAAGGCTTTGGGGCCCAAAGACCCTATTACATAAGGCTTCTGGGCTATTCTGATGCCCAGGGTGAATTTTCAGACTTAAATGTACATTCCTCAACTAAGAAGTAACGCTATTAGGCTCCCTAAACCCTAAACCCTAAACCCTAAACGGTTTAGGGTTTAGGGTTTAGGGTTTAGGGTGCTATTAGGCTCTCTGTGTACATTCGACGTCGGCCGCCGCCTGCCATTCTCTGGCCTTCCCGCACGTCCTGATGACCCGTCCTAGAGCCACCTCTTCCTCCCTCTGCGCCATGGCTCCCAAGCAGTTAGGGTTTAGGGTTTAGGGTTTATAGGGCTTAGGGTGGACCCAAACCCTAAACCCTAACTAAACCCACCGCGAACCCAGACCCACATTAACCAGGGCACCTTTGAAAGGGAAATGTACTTGTTGTTGGGGGTCATGCTTCTTTTAGAAAGGCAAACTGGCTGCTCTAGGGCAAGCCCAATACCAAGGGATTCAATGGTAATCGTAGCAGCAAGTCCCTTGCTTTGAAATACGTCAGCTCATGGTTTAGGGTTTAGGGTTTAGGATACCTCAGGCAGTGAAGGATCTTGGCCATCAGCCGATTGAAAGGGCGGATGAGCAGCTCGGCAGGAGGTTGAAGGCGAGAACATATTGGGTGGGTGGTTGTCAAAATTATGGTCCCTTTTTGGGTCCGTAATATAATGCGGCACCTATCATTTAGGGTACCCCCAAGAGGGACCCTAATTTAGAGAACTACTCATATGTCAAGAACATCTCGAGGACTTTCCGATCACAGGTAGGTAAACACCAGCCTTGTTGAAGCAAGGACTGTACCCTAGCACTGTATTTTGTCCATCAAGCTAGCTGCAATATGTGGCTAGTTTTTTAGATTAGGGTCCCTTTCAAAGCCCTGTTTATACGCGTGTCGTACTATTTTGTTGGACCTAAACGGGGCCCCAATTTAAAGATCTTCCCATGGTTTCGGGGGCTTGTCACGGTCGGAATTGGTAATGGTGTGGGTTTTGGGTTTTGGGGCTTAGAGTTTAGGGTTTGGCGGGTTTAGGGTGTAAGGTCTCGGTTGGTACAAACTCATAAACCCTAAGGGTCCAAGTGCCGAAAAATCCAAAGGTAGCCTACCTGCTACTTTCCGACACCGTATCCTTGGGACTCTTTAGGGAAACAAGCAATGTTTGGGGGTTTTGGAGGTTTAGGTAGGGCTTAGTTCATAAGTCTTTGGGGCCTTCGAGGCATTAACGACTCCCGAAACCTAAACCCTAAACCCGCCTCTACTCCGGGGAATCTGTTGAGGCTCGGGTTTGTATTTCCGGAATTTCTAAGGGCTGCTGGGCACATGGACCCTGCGGAAAACGTTCAATGCAACAGAAACGCCCGAGAGCTCAAGACACCAAACAAGAGCCCCGGCAAGGGCACTGGTTTAAACTAAGGGTTCGTCAGAATAATATGGTAGAAAATTACACAACTCTCCGATGTTGTTTTTTTGTTGGCCGGCCCGTCACATTGATCCGCAGCGAGACTTCAGAAGAGCTGGTCGCGAGCTGTCTTAGGTCAGGAGCTCGCCATGGGTACACTAAACCCTACACCCTAAGCCCTAAACCATAAACCCAAAACCCTAAACCCCAAAACCCCAAAACTCCAAACCCAAAACCCCAAACCCCAAACCCCAAACCCCAAACCCAAAACCCTAAACCCAAAAAAGCTGCTGTCCAAGGCCGAGTGGCCCTCACTGAAGAAGGCCTTTGGCCTCCTTGAGTGCGGGCCACTCGGCCTTGGCGAGCAGCCGACCGGCCTCCCCCGGGACTTTGCATTTTGAGCATGTCGAGATCCTGGCGGATAGGGTTTAGGGTTTAGGGTTTAGGGTTTAGGGTTTATAGGGTTTAGGGTGTAAGGTTTAGGGTTAACAATTACCTATGCTATTTTGGGGGTTCCTTGTTGTAGTTATAGTACAACATACCCCCAAACCCTATTCTAATTATTAAGGCCCCGGCTTTGGGAGGGTTTAGGTTTACCGGGACCCTAAAGAGCCTTGGAATTCATCTTAAGGAACTCTAAGGACGTAGGTTCTTTAGGGTCCGGGTCGGGTTTAGGGTGGGGAAGGGAACCCTAAACCCTGAACCCTAAACCCCAAACACCGAAACCCTGAACTTCTGAACCCTGAACCCCAAACCCTAAACCCCAAACCCTAAACCCTAAACCCTAAACCCTAAACCCTAAACCCTAAACCCTAAACCCTAAACCCTAAACTCTGAGCCCTAAACCCAGGGCCCCAGCATGCAGCGCAGGATTCTAGCGGGGGGGTTGAGGCTGAGGCTTTCCTTTGAACTAAAAATGCTCAAACCCTAAACCCCAAACCCTACCAGGACCCTAAAAAAAAGCCCCTTATGACCCCAAATAGTGGATTTAGGGGGTATATTGAGGGTTGGGGGGTCTAGGTAAACCCTGAACCACAAACCCTGACCCCTAAACCCTAAGCCCTGAACCCTGAACCCTGAACCCTAAACCCTAAACCCCCAAACCCAAACCCTAAACCCAAACCCCAAACACTACACCCCATAGCAATGCAGTGAGACGGCCTCCGTGCGCCGCAAAATGCCAGCGAGGACGTTTCATCTCCGAGTCGCTTGAGGCTCTATAGGGGTCAGAGGTCGGGCTCCTTTAAGGGCTCCTTTAAGGGATCCTTTAGGGGGATAAGGGTTCCTTTAAGGGCTTCGATAAGGGTTCCTTCAAGGGATCCATGTTTAGGGCTGAGGGTTCAGGGTTCGGATTAGGGCTCAGGGCTCAGGGTTAAGATTTAGGGCTTAGGGTTTAGGGTCTAGGGGTTAAGGTTCAGAGTTTAGTGTTCAGAGCTTCAGGGTTTAGAGCTTCTTGGCTCCAGGGGGATTCTTTCAAGGTTCCTCTCTGGGATTACGAGCGGCGTTTAGGGCCTAGGGTTTGTAGGGTCAGGAGCTCAAACGTTTAGGGCTCTGACGCAGAAAACATGTAAAGACACCCTTTCCCGGGCCTTCAAATGCCGGCTGATGTTGTCCGTATCCTCTTTGTCGATGTCAGCGCCAAGCGTTCAATTCGGAGCAACATGTGGAAGGCCCTCTGCCATAGACCAGCTTGCTCGAATGCGCTGATCATGGCATTTAACGTGATCCTGAGGTGCAAATTCTTTTTTGACTTGGCAAGTCGGTAATTTTGAGATGTCTATCAAGACACCTAGATCGGGCCAATTCATTTCAGTTTTTGATACAGCAGAAAGGATTGAAGGTTGCCTTGCCCCAAGTCTCTCGTTGTGGTGGATCCTCGCATCAGCCATGTCAGACAGGAGACAAAGGCCCACTTGCCACTGAAGACCTCTCTCGCATGCACCTCAGTCATCCAAAGATTTCTCAAAGCTTTACAAGCTCTGTGCCCAACAAAAGTGGGCAAAGAAGGCCGCACAATTTCTGAAGTGCAGAATCTCAGCACTGATGACGGAACTGTAGCTGATCTCATCCGGAAAGACTCCTTGGCTGACTTCTGAACTCGTCCCAAAAATTGAACTTTTAGCCTACTTAAAGGCCCAGGAAACTTAGTAACTCGGTTATAAGTATATGGTTATAATTGGTGGTAACTCCTTTTAGGGAACTTATAACTCTACTTATAACCTACTTACTAAGTCCCCTGGGCCTCCAAGTACTTTATTACAGTTCGTATAGAAACCCCAGAGTTAAAGTCCTAAGAGCCAAACTCTAAAGCTTGAGCCCCAACCCTCAACCCTAAACCCTAAACCCTAAACCCTAAGCCCTAAACCCCCTATAGTTCATATAGGAACCCCAAAAGGTGAAGTCCTCAGAGCCAGCCAAGCCAAGGCTCGTGATTCCGGCATGGCAGTGAGGAGCCACAGAGCCGAGAGCCACATGCCAACCTTCCTTAAGGGTTTAGGGTTTAGGGTTTAGGGTCTAGAATTTAGGGTTTAGGGTCTAGGGTTTAGGGTTTAGGGTTTAGGGCACGAAAAGAACCCTAAAAGGGTTTGAGGTTCATATACCATATAGGGATTCATCGTATGGGGGTTTGGGGCCCTTACTTTTAAGGCTCATCTGGTCCTTAACCCTATAGGGCATTATCAGGGAATAAGGCCCATACTTACAAGTCATTCCATGTGGTCCCCAAGGTTCTCGCACGCAGTGATTGCAGCATTGAAGCTGATACAGTCGGGAGCGACATCTCTGGGAGGCAGCGAGTGGAAGAGCTGAAGTGCGAGCTGCCACTGGTAGCCTGTCGCACAGGCACTGATCGCAGCATTGGCGCCGATGCTGTCGGGTAAACGCATCTGCCTTGGGGACGAAACGTACCCGAAATGGGTCTACGGTTCATTTATATACCATAGAGCATCAAATAGGTCCACAATTTAAGGATAGGGCCTCTAAAACTCTCAAGTTTAAACCCTAAAAAAGTGCCTCCTTCAAGTCCCCGAGGTGCAACAGCAGATATACTTAAACCCTAACAGGGTTCCTTTAAGTCCCCGAGGTGCAACAGCAGATATACGGCCTCTTCCCAGTATCCCAAGGGTTCACAGGCGCCGATGGCAGCGTTGAAGCTCACTTCATTCGGACGCAAGGAGATGCCAGGCATTACCTGGGCTCAGAGTTCGAGGGGTTTAGGGGTTTGGGGGTTTAGGGTTTAGGGTTTAGGGCTTTAGGGTTTTGGGTTTTAGGGTTTTGGGTTTTAGGGTTTAGGGTTTAGGGGAGTTAGGGTTAGGGTTTTGAGGGTTCAGGGATACGTTTACTTGTAGCCCCAAACCCTACCAAAAGCTAAGCTCTGAGCCACCCCCGTACCAAAAAAGTGGGGTTTGATGCCCATCTTCATTTTCTATTCCCCTAAAACCCTAAACCCTAAACCATTAGGCTGTTGGATCCACAGGTACGTCTAGAAGACAGCGGAGCGCCTGTTGCAACTGAAGACCCTTCCCACCTTGGCGGTCCGAGAATGTCCTCAAAAAAACGAAATCTTGCTTCAAATAATTCCTTGATTAAGGGTTTAGGGTTCAGGGCTATATTTTTCTATATGGGTTCTATTATACAGAGGGTTTGAGGTTTAGCTAAGGAAGACATCTAGCCTAAAAGGGTTTAACATTTCAAGCACCATAATGGGTATTCATTGTGCTCATAGCATGAGAAAGGTCTCTCTTTGGAAGGATTCCTTCAGTCCGCAAGGTGTTGGAGTAGGATCCAAAGTATCACGACAACTCGGAGCTTGATACCCTCTAAACACCGTAGGACTTATAGGGTTTAGGGTTTACAAGGTTTATAGGGTTTATAGGGTTTAGGGTTTATAGGGTTTAAGGATTTTGGGGTTTCGGGGTTTAGGGTTTAGTGCTCAACCCTGCCCCGGAAGCTAAACCCTAAACTCTACACCGATTCGCAACAAACACGTCTACGCAGGGTCCCTTTAAAGGGCTACTATAGTCGGGCATAGGGTTCCCTTTAAAGGGCCCCTTTAAAGGCATAGGCCGGCCACACGCTGTGATGACAGAGCTGCCGGTGACCTGGTCCGGTTCCAACCTCGCAGATGCAATCTGCCAGAGAAGCCTCGGATGTCTGTCATTTGGGGCTTTCCGAAAATAGGGTTTAGGGTTTAGGGTTTAGGGGTTTAGGGTTTAGGGTTTAGGGGTTTAGGGGTTTAGGGGTTTAGGGGTTTAGGGTTTAGGGTTTAGGTTTTGGGGTCCTTATAATAAGGATCCCATTATTTAGGGTACTATATTAGGGTCCCCTATTTTCGGAAACCCCCATTTGGGCTTTACCTACAGTCTCCATTGTAGTTCCTTTTGTTGATTTAGGGCTTGAGGGCTTTAGTTACTTTAGTTAAAGGAAACTACAAATGGGGAGATTAGGGTATATAGGGCTTCTATAAGGCTTCTATAAGGTATATAGACCTTCTATAGGACCCTTGGCATTAAAACAGCCCAAAAGCCTCATAGAATAGGGTCTTTGGGCCCAAAAAGCCTTAAACTCTGAGTCCTTTGAGGGTAGGGGTTTGGGCTTTACCTATAGTCTCCATTGTAGTTCCTTTTTTTGGCTTAACCAATTCTAGAACTAAGGATTCTTTCAGTTAACCACAAGAAGGAACTACAATGGAGCCTATAGGTAGGTCTTGCGAGCTTTAGGGTTTAGGAGTTTAGGCCTTGAGGTCTGTAGGATTCGGGCCACACTTCCAGAGATAGAAGCTCAGGACTCAACCCAAACCCTCAACCCAAAGCCCTCAACCCAAAGCAGTCAACCCTCAACCCAAAGCCCTAAACCCTAAAACCTCCACCCAATGCCCTACAACCTAAACCCTCAACCCAAAACCCTAAACTCTCCCTCAAAACCCTGAACCCTAAACCCTCACCTCAAAACCCTACGTAAACCCTAAGCCCTGAACCCAGAGCCCTAAACCACAAAGCCCTAAAACGGGCCGCGAAGGAGCTCAAAAGTCCGGGCCCACTGGCTAACCTTACTTCTCCAATAAGCCAGGGAAACAAATGGTTAAACTTTCAGATTACTACTAAACTCAAACTACATAAAAAGTTTAAAGGTTGGGTTTTGGAGAACTCAGTGACCAGCCCACAGCAGGCGATAGCGGCGTTGCAGCTGATGATGTCCCTCTCCAGCCCTGCCTTCAGAATGCAGGGGCCTTACTAATTAAAATAAGGTTTTGGGGCATACTATACTTTAATTATAAGAGGCTTTATGGTGTAACGTAGGGCCCTTAATAATTAGAAGAGGGTTTTCGGGGCATATTATACTACAAGTATAATGAGGAGCCCCCCAAAAATAGTACAGGTAATTATTAAGGCCCCGTAGGCTCGATGGCTTAGGGGTTGAGGATTTACGGTTTGGTGCTTGCTTAGGTCTTAGATTTGGCGACGACGATGACGACATCCAATACTAGCACTGAAACTACGTCCACCGCCACTGCTGCTGCTGCTGCTGCTGCTGCTGCTACTAATGCCGATACAGTCACAGTGGTACTAAGGATCAACAGTTTTGGCGTTCAACAGTCGCACTGCTGATGATCACAATGATCACAGCACAAATAGTGTTCCTTTTCTTGGGTTATCACGGTGATAATGCTCCTACACTGCGTCTACAAGTTGCTTAGCTGATACCCATAGGCGCCATAGCCACCTTAAGCACCAATCTAAACCCTAAGGCCCCAACCCGAAACCCCAAACCTTTAAACCTTAAAACCCCCCAACTTTACGCCCTAATCACCCTAAAAACCGTAAACCCCCAACCCTAAACTCTAATCTAAACCCCCAACCCTAAGCCCTAAACCCCACCAAACCCTAAGCCCTAAGCCCCCAACCCCTGAATCCGACCCCCCCCCCCCCAACATCAAACCCGAATATCGGTTTAGGGTTTAGGGTTTAGAGTTTGGAATGAAGCCACGAAGCCCCAGTGGCCTCGGGGATTTGGGAAACGAGTCGAAGCGACCGTTGCCATCGTAGGCCTTTCAGAAAGGCAGGCAGCTATACCTTAAGAACCCAAAACCCACTTTTCTGTAGGATCTTATTATCAACCGTAATATGGGATTTATAGGGACCCTACAAAAAAGTAGGTTTTGGGTTCTTAGGGTACAACCTTGCCCAAGGCTTCCACTCGAAGCATCTACATAATATCAATGCATATATGCTTTGGATTCAAGAAGGCTCCCAGTTCGGGAAAGTCAATGAAATCAATCATGTGTGTATTGTGTGTTATGAAGATGAACCCGTGTATGGGACAACTGGGTTCTATGGATGGTGGGGCTTTAGCCTCTGCGGGGGCAGGGGAGGAACCTGCATGTAATTGGGTAGTTCTCTAAATTAGGGTCCCTTTTAGGGTCCTTTTTATAAGGGTGCCGTACTAGATTGGGGACCTAACAATGCACCCTAAGTTAGAGAACTACACAAGTCTACATTCTGCGAATGGAATCTTTCCATGCAGGCAATCAAGGAGCGATGTGTGCCGCTGTGTGTCTACCACCTGAAAGTATTGAAAATTGACTCCATAAAGATGCCTCGATAGATAAGTCAGAGGCCCTATTGCTGCTTCATACGTCCATGACAGTGACATGCACAAATAAGCCCTAAACCCCCCAGTTACCTACTATATGGGGCCCTAAATAGTAGATACCTGGAGGGTCAGGGAAAGATACAACCTTTGGGGTTTCACGTTTCCTCCCTCGAAGCGCCTTCGCCGCACTGGTTCACAAGTGCGTTGAACGTCACCAAGTCCGCCCGGGCATCTGCCCCGGGCATGCCGGCGAGCAGCTGAAGTGCTGCAGCCCATTGCAGGCTGTCTCGACAGGCAGCAATGCCGATGTTAAAGCCTTGCATTGGGACATGCTTGAGGACAGTACTCCAACACAACTCGGCCAAACTAATATCGAGGCCTTAAGTAATTACCAGTACTAGTTTGGGGGGTTCCTTTACGAGTATAAGTATAATATAATATACGCCCAGAACCCTGTTCCAATTACAAAGGCCACTATCTTACCTACTGTAGTCCAAAGAATAGCAAAAGGACTGCTTGGGGAGGCCCAGATACTGATCTCATCAGCAGTTGGAATGGTAGCAAGCAGATGAATTGATGCCTCCCATCGCTGAACCCGTTCACAAGAGCTGATGGCTGCAGTACCACTCATCTCACTGAGAGAGACTCGTTGTCGAGGCAGGTGAGACAGGAGCCCCATCGCCAACTGCCAATGCCCGCTTCTGTCACTTGCACTAATGCCGGAAGTGAAGCTGATCTCATTGGGCTTAGCGGCTTTGGCCACCATGTAGGCCAGCAGCTGCAGCACAGTCTGCCACTGCCTGTTTCTTTCAGCTATGTTCATGAGCGCATTGCAGCTGACGGTATCAGGTAAGATATCTTGTGACAACATCTCGGAAAAGACCTGAGCGGCCACCATCCAGGCACCAAGACTTGCTGTAATAGCTGCTGTGAAGTTGTAGATGCTCGGAACACTCCGCAGCACCAGCATCGTGGCCAAAGCTTCCACACATGCCTGCCAGCAGGTCACAACACGTACAAGCCATCTGAATGACGGTGAAACGGGCGGACTTAGAGGATAATCCTCCAACCTACATACCCTGTACCCTTCAATTAAAACTAACGCTAAACCCCTACCATCAAGATTGCCGACGGCTTGTTGCATCGCAAACAATCCGAAGGTCTTATAGACCTTCAAAACAAAGTCTCAAGCCCTAACACCCTAAACCCCAAAACCCGTAATGTAGGGGCCTCAATAATTAGAATAGGGTTTTGGTGTATTATACTATTATTATAGTAAGGAACCGCCCAAAATAGTAGAGGTAATTATTTAGGCCCCTACATGAGCCCTAGCCGGGCCCTTTCATGAAGCCACGGCCTCCCATTCCCTGGCCCTCCCCCGCTCCCTGATGATTCGTGCCAGCGCGAGCCTTAGTTGCTGAGTTCATAACGTCCCAAAAACGTACACTTTCAGTTTCATAATAAGTGCTATTATCACCTGAAGTGTAAATTAGTGTATCCACACAGCTACTGAGGAGCTCCTCTCGCTGCGCCATGGCAATGAATCCCATGCACTGGCTGAATGAGTTTCATAAGATCTTACAAGCCCAAAAGGAGTGAACTCCAAGAGTACAGCATTGAGAACTGAGGGGCTGGTACCCTAGCCCAATAAGGTTAGCCTTGTTAGTTTTGGTAGGGCCCCCAAGGTTTAGGGTTTAGGGATTAGAGATACGCCCCGACAAATTGAAGGTTACCTCCCCAGCTCCTAAGAGAACCTCAATCGCTGGACAGCCAGGGCCCTTAATTACGGAATATTCCTTGAATCATAGTAGGGATCCTACTATAATTTAGGGTATATTCCTTCAATCATAGTAGGGATTCTACTAAAGTTTAAGGAATATACCTTAAATCGGGATCCTACTATAATTTAGGGTACATTCCTTAAGTAGGACATTTAGGAAGGTCTGGGGCCCTTACGGCCGCTAGCACGCTTGGTGCGGGTGACAGACGGGGAGCTTTAGACCACAGCATGAGGTTTAGGGTTTAGAGCTTGCTAGGATAGGGCTTAAGGTGCATAGATGTGTGTATGAAAGTACAACTAGAATGATTATGAATATGTTATTGGCAAGTATTCAGGCTGAGTGACATACATACATACCTACCTACCTACATACGACATACGTATACATATATATATATACACACATGTATATCCCAAAACTAAACACTAGAAGTGTACACCAAACCCATAAACCAAAACTGCTGAGGGTTTGGCGCTGAGAGTTTCGGGCTCAGGGTTATTTAGGACTTCGGGTTTACGGTTCATGGCTTAAGGCCTAGGGTTTATTTTGATTAGAGCGTGTGGGTTTAGCGCTTTTAGGATTTGGGCTTTAGGGCGGGCAAGAAAAGCAGCGATGATCAGAAGAAGGCTTCATAAAGCAAACGAGGTCCTTCTGCCAGAATGCTACTGCTACGATTCCCTCCTCCGCCTCCCCCTCCTCCTCCTCCTTTTCCCTCCTCTGCCTGAAGTTCACTGAAACGCTGGACACTTTTTCATGCACCGTCGAGCGCTACCCTCTTTATGGGTGTCGCCGGCGCCGTTTTTGAGGCGGCTTGGGTGCGGAGAGCTCGTCGCGAGCCTCGGCAGACCCAGGGGCTCAAGCAGAGGAACTCCGTTGTCTGCACGTTGATGTACACTAGCTTTTCCTTTTCTACCTGTTTACACATATTGCAACATTTACATGGTAAATGAAAAGCATGTCTGCATGAGTCTGCATGCTTGTATGTATGTACGTCTGTACGTACGTA